CTTTGAGAGCGTGGCTCAATAGAGTGTACTTTCTATATCACCAACTACGCTTCAGGCTAGGGAAAGGGCTTAGACTTCGGTACACGCACTCTAAAGTAGATGGTTCGTGGATGTCAAACTCTGGGATGCTACCAACTGGTATGGTTCAGCCTATCATTGTAGCATGGCCTGGTATGTCTATGGATGAGCAGAAGAGGATGGATAGGTTTCAGAAGTAGCATCCTTCATGCTTTAAGGGTAGTTCTTCAGAGGATGCCCAGGATTTCATAGATAGATGTCATGAGATATTTCACAACATGGGATTGGTAGAGTCCAATGGATTTGACTTCACTATATTACAGTTCAGAGGGCCAACTAAGAGGTGGTGGCAAATTTATGAGCTGGGTAGACTAGCACGGTCACTTCCTCTCACGTAGGATCAATTTTCACATTGCTTCTTGGAGAAGTTCATCCCATTCACTAGGAGAGATGAGCTTTCTAGCCAGTTAGAGCATTTGGTTTAGGGTAGCATGTCAGTGACTTAGTATGAGATGAGGTTGATAGAGTTATCAAGCCATGCGACTTTCTTGATTCCCACTAAGAAGGAAAAGGTATTGAGGTTCATTCAAGGTCTTCACATGGTATCGGCATTGGGATGGACGTGGTGCTCATTTAGGACAGTTGCTATACAGTGCACCTTCAGCTTATGGTCCTTACAACGCAGTTCTAGCGTAGAGTCTTTACTATTGGTATTTAGATAGTCGGGGTCAGTCGCAGGTTTAGTAGCCTTGCCAAATAAGGGGATGCTTTGAGTTTGAAGATTTGGGACACCTCAAGATGCATTTTCCCAGATTGCAGAGTATTATACGACAGCAGGGCACTCAAGACATAGCTCTAGCCTCAGTTGCTACACCACCTTCGTGGCTAGCTAGAGATGGAGGTCAGGCACGTAAAGGTCTTCCTAAAGGTGGAGGTCAGGCTCATTTTTATGCTTTTCCTATTAGGCATGAGGCGGTTACATCCAATGTAGTTATTATAGGTATTACTTTAGTCTATCATAGGGATGCTTCAGTATTATTTGGTCTGGGTTCCACTTATTCGTATGTGTCATCTTACTTTGCATCATATTTGGGTATGACTTGTAATTCTTTTTATATTCCTATTTACGTGTCTACACCTATTAGAGATTCTATTGGGGTGGATCGTGTATATCGTACTTGTGTAATTATTATTGATGGGTATGATACTATGGTTGATCTCTTGTTGTTGGACATGGTTGGTTTTGAGGTGATTCTTGGCATTGATTGGTTATCCGGGTATCACACTACATTGGATTGTCACGCCAAGAATGTGACTTTAGCTATGCCTGGGTTGCCTAGATTAGAGCGGAGAGGATCATTTGGCCATTCTACAGGTAAGGTGATTTTATTTCTGAAGGCTTAGTATATTATTGAGAGGGGATGTCTAGCATATTTGGATCTTACTGGTGATTCTAGTGTAGAGGTTTCTTCATAGATTCGATACCATTTGTGAGAGAGTTTTCGAAAGTGTTTCCTATGGATTTGTCGGACATGCCACCCAATAGGGATATTAATTTTGGTATTGACTTGGTTCCTGGCACTCATCCTATATCTGTTCCACCATATCACCATGGATCTAGTGAAGTTAAAAGATTAAAGGAACAGTTGCAATATTTGCTTGAGAAGGGAATCATCAGGCCAAGTGTTTCCCGTGGGGGTGCACCGATGTTGTTTGTTAAGAAGAATGATGGTTTTTGTATTGGTTACAGACAATTGAAAAAGGTTACTATCAAGAATAAGTATCCATTACCTCGTACTGATGATTTGTTAGATCAACTTCATATTGCTAAGTTGTTCTCTAAGATTATCTTGAGATCGGTCCGCTAAGGACAAGAAAATAAGGATCATCATAGTGGACTATTCAGATTTTTAAGGAGATGTTGCGAGCATGTGTGATTAACTTTGGCGTTCGTTGGATTAGTTTCTACCATCGGCGGAGTTTGCCTATAATAATAGTTACCAATCCAACATTCACATGGCTCCATATAAGGCTTTGTATGGTAGGCAATGTTAGTCCCCTATTGGTTGGTTTGAGCCTGGTGAGGCTAGGGTGTTGGGTACATATTTGGTCTGTAATGCATTAGTTAAGGTAAAGTTGATTCAGGAGCAACTTCGTACAACTCAGTCCAGACATAAGAGTTATGCGGATGAAGATATGACTTTAGAGTTTCACACCTAAATTTATAGTATGTTAGTAAGTACACATTCCCAAGTACATAAACTCCATCTCATTTACAAAACAATAGTGTATCAAGTTTTGCCAAATAATATATATGTTTGAAACACCAAAAGTGAATACTATAACAATACAAATCCTACTAAATTTGGTGCCTGTAATAAATTTTGTACCATCTACAATCTATAAATTGATGCTTTTAAGCTGCAAGTTCATTAGTAGTGGAACAAGAAGACTGGACAAGTGATTTAAGAATGCTTAGGAAAGAACAATATGATCAACACACAAATTTATTCAGTCTCCCTCTGATTGCAAATCTACTCTTGATTATAACCAAGGTAGTCTTGTGCTTTTTAATGAAAAACATCTATCAAAATACAAGCCAACATAAAACATTTTTAGAGATGCTACTGGAAGTCTTCTATAGCTTTTCTCCTCAATGTTGTAGAGGAGAGGATGAGGATGGTTAACGGGGAGGTCACCATTGTTATCTTCAATTGGTGGTATCTATCCCAATTACCTTTGAACTTATGTGGCATGCCTGGTAACTTGATATTGTACTCCTTGATCCATGTTTGGTTCTTAGGATCTTTGAGCAAGAATAAATCCACTCTTGACAATACTTTTGAATAGTAAGCGAAACACAAACTCCCATTCAAATCAACTAACTGGCTGTGCCAAATGGCTTGTGACCAATGGTCAAGAATTCTTCATTTTCAATTTTGCGTTGATATAATATGTAATTCATCTCTACTTGAAACTGACCAATACATAATTACATGACAATTTACACATGTTGCACGATAAGAAAACCATTCACGGTGTGTCAAGGATCGCCAAGAACTAAGAATTTGTCTACCATCTGTTAGTGTGAAGGTTTCAAATCCAAACCCCAACACCTTGCCTGTCTTGTTACAGCTATATCTAGGACTATCTGTGGTACCAAATAGATGGACAATTTTGTATATATTGGTGGAAGGGATGTAGCCCACATCAAAACTACATGATGGATAACTTAAACGTGGTAAATCTTTGATTTCTCTAGTTGTGGGATCTGTTGGACTTTAAAGCATTGGGCTTCAAAGACTTTAAGCATTGGGCTTTAAAGTCTAAGAGGGTGAATTGGAAATGGTGGGAAATAAAATGGAGAGAAATGAAAATTTGAATGAAGTGAGCTTTTGACTTGAACTTTGTCTCTCATTGGTGAGGGACAACTACATTTGTGTGTACATATATAGAATCACTTCTTAAAGCTCTTAAAAGGAGTTGAAGAGAATGAACCCTCGCGCCGTCGTCGTTGCTCGCTCGGCTCGGCTCGGCTTCGGCTTCGGCTTCGGTACTGCTGCAGATTCAGAAGGCCACTCTGGCCGCGGTCCTGGCGTAACCGCGGCAGGACGCGCAAACTTCTGAACAGACACCTTTTCCAGAACAAACATCACACCTCTTCCAATAATTGCCTATAAATTCTGAGGCATGGCTTCGTTTTTAACACACTGAAAAATTACAAAACTTCCTTCTTTCTGAAAATACTGCATTCTAATTCGCAGTCTCTCTCTCAAATTCGTAAGTGGGATTTTGCTCCGTTTTTTAAGTTCGTTGGTATCCTGCAGTTTGTATTGCCACTGTTGCAGGAAGGTTTATTCCGTTTCATCCTGGGAGGATTTAATCCATTACCTTGGCAACGTGTGAGGGGGTTAAAATTCCTTAAGGACGTACAAGCAAATTGTGGACTCGGAATATTTCTTATTCTTTACTGTTTTCCAGTTTCTTTTATTCTTCTAACAGTTTTCTGATTTTGTGTTTTAACACAGTAGTGGATTACAGGATCACATAGCTTTTCTTGGAAAATGACTAAGTTGAACGAGATGAAGAGGGAGTATTCAAGGCCAACAATCTGGAATGTGAATTGATTTTGGATTTCATAGTCACGAGCAAGATCCATGGTGGACATGGTGATAGTTCGTTAAGGTTTCCGATCCCATTTGAGAAATTATAAATGAAAGAACAATTGACTCATGGATTTCGTGTTGTAGAGTCTTTTGAAATGTGTACTGGAGATGGTTCTGAGCCATAGCTTTGAAACTGTTTTAAGTTGGCTGACATGTTTGAGCGGAAGCCTCGAGAGTATGTTCATCGATACTTCACAAGGCAGACCCATGATATTGGAGCTCGGTTCCATACTAGTTCTGGCCATTCTTCCACTGATCTATGATCTAGAAAGGAAATTGAGTGAGAGAGAAAGAAATTGATGGTCTTATAGCTACTGTGTAACGAAGAACAGGATAATAAAAAAAGGGTAGCTGGTGCACTAAGCTCCCGCTAGGCGCGGGGTCTGGGGAGGGGCCGGACGACAAGGGTCTATCGTACGCAGTCTTACCCTGCATTTCTGCAAGGGGCTGTTTTCATGGCTCGAACCCGTGACCTCCTGGACACATGGCAGCACATTATGTTACAAAAGTACGGACTTTAGTTAATAATCTCAAATATTGAGCACCAAAGTCTTGAAGAACAAATACGAATATCATTTAATTCAGTCCATGTGCAGCGTAGTTGTAATAATATAGCAGAGGCGCTCTTCCAGCCAAGTTTAGAGGAAGTTTTTGACTTGATGAAAGTACTAATATTTTCAAAAACTAAATATCCAATTGACGAAGATAATTTTAGTTTTAAACTGTATCGGTTGTTCCTCGGACTAGTTCATTGAGCAAGAAAATTTAATTGATTGAGAAAATTTAAACAAATTACAATGATCAACTCATATACATTCATAGTTGATCTCCCTCAGATAACAAATCTACTCTCGGCTGCAAAGATAGTCTTGCGCTTCCTAAGTTAAAACATCTATCAATGTACAAACCAATATGAATCTTCATTTTAGGTCTTGGCAGTTTTCTAAGCCTTTTCTCTTCAATGTTGTAGAGGAGAGGCTGCTTACCGCTGTCAATCATAATTTCACCATTGTTACCTTTTAACGGTACATACCCAATTACATTGAACAAACTTCCTATACCAAAATTGATGATGTGTTCCTTGACCCATTCTTGCTTCTTATGATCCTTGAGAACGTATAGATCTATCCTTGACAATTCTTCTGATTGGTAAGCTAAACATAATTTCCCATTCAAATCAGCCAACTCACCATTCTCAATTAGTGGAAACTCTTCATAATAGGGATCTTTGGGGCAACAAACAGAACTCAAGAACTCTTCAGTTTCAATTTCCATCGAAATAATATGCTTTTCCATTCTATCTACTCTTCCAACCAACCAATAAATTACATTATTTACACATGTTGAATGAACCTTGTAAGAAAACCATTCTTGGTGTGCTAGGGATTGCCAAGAGCTAGGAATTGGTCCACCATCTCTTAGTGTGAGCGTCTCAAATCTGAACTCCACAGCACTACCACCATAGTTAAAGTTGTAATTGGGGCCAGTCTTGGTACCATATAGATGGACAATCTTGTATGTATTGTTGGAAGGGATATAGGCGACATCAAAACTAACTGACGGATAGCTTGAAATTGGTAAGCCTTTGATTTCTTTAGTAGTGGGGTTGCATACCTTGTGATTGAAAATGATGAGGTTGGAGAAGATGAAGAAAGAGTGTTCAGGGGCAATAATATCCTCAAAACTGAAATCTTTCTGGATCTCGTTGTTGTCTACAGCGAGATCCATGGTCGAAATAGAAATAGTTCGACTAATCATTTCCATGCCACTCGGTGAATGCTTGTAGTCGGATACTTGAACTACACGTGCTCGAGGACGATTCAAGGATTTCTTGTTGTAGAGTCTTCTGAAATGTGGACTAGAGATAGTTCTGAGCCATAGCTTTGAAACTGCCTGAAGTTGGTGGACATGTTGGACTGCAAGCCTGGAGAGTATATCCACCAGGACTTCATTAGGCAGATCGATGATGTTAGAGCTCCGTTCCATTGTACTGTCCATTCTTCAACTGCTTCTTGATATCGAAGATATCATAGAGAGATCTAAATTGTGAAAAGAGCCTTCATTGACTTTCTTAAGACATGCCAAGCACCTTCCTTCAGTGACGTAATTAAAATAAAGATATGACAGTTGAGTAGGTTAGAAGACATATATTTTACTAACTTATAACTGTTAGTACACTGTGATCGAAAATAAATTCTGTAATAATAAAACAGAAGTAGGAGAATTAAAATGTTCTGAGCCCAACAGAAAATTGTATTTTCTTAAAGAATTTAATCCCCTCACGGTTGGCCAAGGTTATTGGATTAATTGCTCCAATAATAGAACTATTTTGTAATATTGACAATAGAAATTATAGAACTTCAGCAAATACCGTTCGAGAGAGATAGCATCTACATACCTTACTGGCATATCCCGTTCGAGATAGCATTCAGCAGTACAGATTCTCGACCACCAAAAGTAACTAGGAGTGATACTCGAGTTGCAATTGACCTTATCTTCCCGAATGTAACGTGGTGGGACCTTTCATCGAGCACCTTCATCCTCCTTCGCTGTAGCATCTTCTAAGTCAGATCCCTACATATCAGTAACGACTTTGGCACTTGATCCCTCATCAACAAATACCTTTGAACAATAGCTTTGATTTGACATTTCTGCGGAGTAATCCTTGACGACTATCGTCATCATCCATGTTCGTGCCCTATTCGTTATTTCTCATATAGTTAGACTTGACGAAGTTGTCATTATCGTCCAAGCTATCATTGCGAACCTTGTCAGCGGAAGTTGCTGAAAGTGCTCCATCAATTACATAAGTATTAGGATCATTAATTTCTGGGCTCACTATTGTAACTAGCATTTTAGCGAGCAAATGGTCTGCATTTGAAGTTTCATCTTCCTGAACGGAATCATGCCCAGATAATTTGGGGATATGACAATCGAAAAAGGTAGACACATGGGTCTCTGGTGGAAAGACAACTGTGTAACCCAAGTCGTATAAACAAGCATATGTGAAGGTTTGTCCAAATGCCCCATCAGAGCAGTGAAGGTGTGATTCCCAAAATGTAGAAACATTTTCTCCTTGAAATGCGTCCAATCATGGAATTGCTTATTGTTAAATAGCCAATCTGAAGGTGTTATTCAAATAGAAAATAACAGACTTAAAGAGGAAAAGAAGATATATTTTATTAAGCTGAAAGAAGCTGCTTAAATACACCAGAAATTCTAACTGAATAGCACTAAAAAACTGAAACTGAAACTTCCTAATATGATGGAACTAATCCACCAACTTCTTCATGCCTAAAGACTAGGGAAATCACAACTGAAAAATCTTAAGACTAGGAAGTCTACAACTAATAATATCCAGAAAATATCTAAGTTATTCTCTGCAATTTAAAGGACACATCAGCAGCTTAGTCATCATGCCAACTCAGCGTCAAACTAACAGCTCATGAGGCATAATTCAACACTCCTCCTTGCATCAAGAGCTGTAAATCCCAAGTTTGGTTCTCAAGAACTCAAATCTGCTTGCTAGAAGAGCTTTTGTAAATATATCAGCCACTTGCTCTTCTGTTTTACAATACACCAGATTCACTTGACCATTCTTTTGCACTTCTCTCAAAAAATACAGCTTCACATTAAAATGTTTGGTCTTTCCATGAAATACTAGATTGTGTGAAATAGCAATAGCAGCTTGGTTGTCTACAAAAACTTCAGTGCTTTCTTCATTCTCCAGGCCTAGGTCACATAAGATTTTCTTTATCCACAAAGCTTGATTAGCAGCAGTTGTAGCAGCAACGTATTCTGCCTCTGCAGTTGACTGAGCGACAGTCTCTTGCTTCTTCGAACACCAAGAAAAACAGCCTGAGCCAAAACTAAAACAGTACCCTGAGGTGCTTTTCATATCTTCAATAGAACCAGCCCAATCACTGTCAAAATATCCTTGAAGTTTGAAATTCTTGCACTTGCTGAATCTGACTCCATAATCTATTGTACCTTTGACATACCTGAGCGCTCTTTTTGCAGCTTTCGCATGAATTTCACTTGGAGAATTCAAAAATCTGGATAGTACATTTACAACATACAATATGTCTGGTCTTGTTGCTGTAAGATACATCAGACATCCTATCAAGCTTCTGTAGTTTTCTTCTAGTACGAGTTCAGCACCATCCTCCTTCATCAACTTCTCCTTTTGATTCATAGGCGTGCTCATACTTTTGCAGTCTTCCATTCTAAATTTCTTTAGAATTTCCTTCGCATACTTTCTCTGACAAATGAATATCGGATCTTGGCTTTGTTTAATCTCCATTCCAAGAAAGAAAGCCATCTCTCCAAGATCTGTCATTTCAAAACTTTCATCATCTCTCTTTTAAACCCTTCAACAAGCTCAACATTACTTCCTGTTACCAAAAGATCATCAACATATAGAGAAATAATCACAATGTCAGAGTTAGTATGTTTTATGTAAAGAGTTGATTCACTTAGGCTTTTCTGAAAACCTAAGGCAGAAAGATGATCATCAATTCTACTGTACCAAGCCCTTGGAGCTTGCTTTAATCCGTAGAGGGCCTTTTTCAGCAAGTAAACTTTATCTTCCTGACCTTCCACAACAAATCCTTCTGGTTGCTCAACATAGATTTCTTCTTGCAAGAAACCATTCAAGAAAGCTGATTTGACATCCATTTGGTAGATTCTCCAACCCTTTTGTGCTGCAATTGCCAAAAGGAGTCTGATTGTGTCGAGTCTTGCCACGGGTGCAAATGTCTCTGAAAAATCTACACCAAAAACCTGAGCGTAGCCCTTCACCACAAGCCTAGCTTTGTGTTTATTCACGGAGCCATCTGCATTTAGCTTAGTTCTGTAAACCCATTTAACTCCAATGATCTTTCTGTTTTGAGGTCTGTTAACCAGCTCCCAAGTGTCATTTTTCTCGATCATGGTCAGCTCCTCCTTCATTGCATCTATCCATTTCTTGTCTCTTTTAGCTTCGGCATATTCGCAGGTTCAAAGACTGCGACATTGCATCTCTGATAAACGTCTGAAAGTGATCTGGTTCCTCTAACTGGAAAATCATCAATCCGCTCCTCAAAATTATGCAACTCAGCTTCCATATCCTGCATGTCTCCTTCCCAATTCCATTGCTTTTGTTTAACAAATTCTATATCTCTGCTTACCACAACTTTTCCCATGCGTGGTTGAAAAATTTTGAAAGCTTTTGACACCAAACTATAGCCAATGAAAATTCCTGGTTCAGCTTTCTTATCAAGCTTATCCCTTTTCACCTGAGGTATGTAAGAAAAACATAAGCAACCAAAAAGTTTTAAGTTCTTTAGGGAAGGTTTATACCCATGCCAAGCTTCAAAAGGTGTTTGACCATTCACTGCTTTTGTAGGCAGCCTATTCAACAGAAAAACAGCAGTATTGGCTGCCTCTGCCCAAAAACTTTTTGGAAGCCCTTTCTCGTGCAGCATACATCGTGCCATCTCCATAATAGTCCTATTCTTCCTTTCGCTTACTCCGTTTTGCTGCGGAGTATACGGAGCAGTAAGTTGATGCTCTATTCCAGCATCTTCAAGAAACCTTTTGAATTGATCTGAAGTGTACTCGGTCCCATTATCGGACCTGAGCACCTGTATTTTGCAGCCACTTTGATTTTCTACCAAGGCTTTGAAAGTTGAGAAAAGTGCAGCAACTCCTGTTTTGAACTTTAAAAAGTATATCCAACACATCCTTGTTAGATCATCAATAAAAATGATATAATACCTGCTTCCATTCAAAGATGGAGTTCTTAGAGGGCCTCCAATATCTGTATGAACTAGCTGCAGTTTTTGAGTTGCTCTCCAAGTTGATTTTGAGAAAGACAATCTTGTTTGCTTTCCAAATTGACATGCCTCGCAACTTGGAAGTTCTTCTTCAAGTGGAGGTAAACCTTTGACCAGCTCTTTTTTGTGCATATACAAAAGAGCCCTGTGGTGAAAATGGCCCAACCTTTTGTGCCAAATACACGTGTTGGATACCAGACTTTGAAAAGCAGCTTGTTCCTCCTCCTTTGGATCCAATGTGAAGCTTTTTCCCTTCATCTTTACTCTGAACACTTCTTGATCTTTGACGTCTTTAATAAGACACTTTTGATTTTCAAAGATCACCTTAAAACCCTTTTGCAATAGCTGTCCAACACTTAATAAATTTTGATCAATTTCAGGCACATAAAGAACATCAGAGATAGTTTTAGTACCTGAGTAGGTTTCAAAAGCCACTGTTCATTTTCCTTTTACAGCAATATAGTCACCATTGCCTATCTTGACTTTTGATGTTGCAGATCTATCAAGCTCCCTGAAGAGTGTTTCATCATTTGTCATGTGGTTAGTGCAACCACTATCGATCAACCAACTGTCGCTGGAACTGCTGCCCATAAAACAAGTTGCGACAAATAACTGCTCTTGTTCTTGCTGATTTGCCACCTAAGCTTCAGTTTCTTGCTGATTATCTTTGGACTTGTAAATTATTTCAGCATGCCCCAACTTGTTGCACTTTCTGCATCTCATATCCGGCTTTCTCCAGCATTTGAAGTGAGGGTGATTCTTCCTTCTACAATGCTGACATGAAGGGAACTTATCTCCTTTGTTGCTGCTAGAGTTGTTGCCTCCACCATTATTAGCAGCAACTTGATTGTTTCCAGCATGGTTCTTCTTTCCTTTTCCTTTCTTGTATCTGCTTCCGGCATTACTTTGCAACTTCGCCTGTAATGCACCTTCTACCGTCCCTTCTTCTCTCATTAACCTTCTCTGCTCTTGTGCCTGCAATGCGTTTAGTACTTCTGCCAAGGTTATCTGTGACAGATCCTTAGTATTTTCTAAGGAAGCAATAGTGGGTTCAAACTTCTCAGACAATGTTACAAGAATCTTTTCAACAACTCTGCTATCAGGAAGATTCTTACCCAACATTCTTACCTTATTCACAATGCTAAGAAGTCTGTCCGAGTATTCTTTGACAGTTTTGGATTCCTTCATTCTTTGCATCTCAAATTCTCTGATGAGATTCATCACTTTCATACCTTTGATTCTCTCACCTCCTTGGTATTCTTCTTTAAGAAAATCCCAAATTGCTTTTGCTGATTCCAGCGCCATGACTCGGGAAAAAATGGTTGGTGAGATTGCAGCATATAAGCAAGATTTTGCCTTGAACTTCCTTGTCCTTTTTTCCTTGTGAAGTTTGATCTGAGCCATTGTTGGATTGCCAGGTAAAGCAGGAATGTCGTAATCCTCCTCTACTGCATCCCAGAGATCACATGCCTCCATGTGAGTTTTCATCTTGATTGCCCATACCTGGTAATTCTCTCCATCAAACACTGGCGGCGGAATTGCAAAAGAACTAGAAGAGTTTTCAGATTCCATGTGTTATGATGGCTTTTCAGGGAAGTAGGTTGGCATTTTGTTTCTCACTCAGACAACACTCACAAGTCACTCACAGGTCCCTTAAGAAAAAAGGGCTCTGATACCAATTTGAAGGTGTTATTCAAATAGAAAACAACAGACTTAAAGAGGAAAAGAAGATATATTTTATTAAGCTGAAAGAAGCTGCTTAAATACACCAGAAATCCTAACTGAATAGCAGTAAAAAACTGAAACTGAAACTTCCTAATATGATGGAACTAATCCACCAACTTCTTCATGCCTAAAGACTAGGGAAATCACAACTGAAAAATCTTAAGACTAGGAAGTCTACAACTAATAATATCCAGAAAATATCTAAGTTATTTCTCTGCAATTTAAAGGACACATCAGCAACTTAGTCATCATGCCAACTCAGCGTCAAACTAACAGCTCATGAGGCATAATTCAACACAATCAAACCAAATGAGGGCATAGCCTTCAAAGTAGAAGTGAGGAAGAGGTAGCCAGTCCTTCTCGGAGAAGCCAAGGTATGTGAAGTAGCACTCATCCTGAAGAACCCAGCCATCTAAGTTGTCACAGTTGAATCGTTCAAGTACCACCGTAGCCATGGAGTATGAACAATGACAGCACTAATGTAACAACTTGAATTTCTCAACACCACACTAATGTATATTATGCATGCTTAATCCAAATTACAACTGAGAATTGGAACAGGGTAATGGAGAAAAAGTTAGAATAACTGGGGAAGAAGGTAACCAGAAGGAGATGAGACACTAGAACATAGAAGGGAGATGAGGGAATATTAGAATGAGCCAAAGCTTCAACATAATAAGGCATACCCTCTTTGCTTCATATCCTGCTATTTAAATGTATTCTTCCCACAGCGGCAATTTAGTCCATTTGGTTCATAATAGCAGCTTTAGCAACATTTATTATAGAAGAAGAAGAGTGGCAAAAGAACTAGGTAGGTACTGCTGATTGAATATGTACTATGGATATTATTTTCTTTTATGCAACTTTTTGGACTATTTCAAGGGGGGCTTTCATTGAGTTCATTCTTCTTTTTTTTTTTGTTTCCCTATTGGTTTTAAGAGGAAAAGGGATACTCAAGGGACAAAAAAGCTCTGAGTGACAGAAAGATGAAGGAGAAGCAAAAGAATTGATGAATGAAAATGAGGATAGTCATTGATGTTCCATATTTTCATTTGGAGACCATTTTGGCAAATAAGCTCGGACAAGGAGGATTTGGCCCAGTTTACAAGGTGAAAATTTCATTCTTACATCTATGTGGACTGCTACCATGTCAACTAAGATTATCTCTAATATTTGAGATAAAAGCAAGGCTGGAAAACATTGTTCAAAGAAATAACTTCTGGTAATAGAATCTTCAACTACACAATGACTAAAATGTTTCACACCAAAATTTGTATATTACTAAGTACACATTCCGAAGTACATAAACTCCATCTCATTTACAGCAATAGTGTATCGAGTATTGCCAAATAATATATATGTTTGAAACACCAAAAATGAATACTACAACAACACAAATCCTACTAAATTTGGTGCCTATATATAATAAAGTTTGTACCACCTTTAATTTCAATGTTAAAATTGATGCTTTTAGATTGCAAGTTCATTAGTAATGGAACAAGAAGACTGGGAGACAAGTAATTCAGTATGCCTAGGAAAGTACAATACAAATTTGTTCAGTCTCCCTCTGACTGCAAATTTAGTCCTGTGCTTTCTAACGAAAAACATCTATCATAATACAAGCCAACACAAAACCTGTTTAGAGATCTTACTGGAATCCTCCTATACCTTTCCCCTTCAATGTTGTATAGGAGGCAAGGAGGAGAGTTAATAATGATTTCACCATTGTTATCTTCATTTGGTGGTATATATCCCAATAATTTGAACTTATCCGGCATGCCTGGTAACTTGATTTTATACTCCTTGATCCATGTTTGGTTCTTAGGATCTTTGAGCAAGAATAAATCCACTCTTGACAATTCTTTTGAATAGTAAGCGAAACACAAACTCCCATTCAAATCAACTAACTGACCGTGCCCAAATGGCTTGTCATTGTTATCTTCTTTAGGGCAACCAATGGTCAAGAATTCTTCATTTTCAATTTCCATCGATATGATATGTAAATCCTTTTCATCTCCATTTCCAACTAACCAATATATTACATGACCATTTACACATGTTGCATGAACCTTGTAAGAAAACCATTCACGGTGTGTCAAGGATCGCCATGAACTAGGAATTGGTCCACCGTCTGTTAGTGTGAGGGTTTCAAATCCAAACTCCAAAACCTCACCAGTCTTGTTATAGCCATAACTTGGACTAAGTTTATTGGCACCAAATAGATGGACAATCTTGTATGAATTGGTGGAAGGGGTATACCCAACATCAAAACTGTATGATGGTAAGCTTAAATCAGGCAAATCTTTGGTTTCTCCAGTTGCGGGAATACATAGCTTTTGTTGGAAAATGAGGAGGCTGAAAGAGACAAAGGATGAGTATTTAAGGCCAACACGCTCGAAACTAAACTGGTTCTGGATTTCGTTTTCCCCAGCAAGATCCATGGCCGAAATCGTGATGTGCACTCTAGGCTCTCTGATTCCATCCCTTTCAATATAACAGACGCAACCACTTTGAACTACAAGTGCGGGGGAACGATGCATGGATTTCATGTTGTAGAGTCTTCTGAAATGTGGACTAGAGATGGTTCTGCACCACGGTCTTGAAACTGCTTTAAGTTGGTGGATATGTTTGAGTGAAACCCGAGAGAGTATATCGACCAATACTTCACAAGGCAGAGCCATGATGTTTTCCATACTAGTACTGGGGGAGAGACAGAGAGAGAGATTAAATTGATGCTCTTATAGCTAAAAAACAGGGTAATAAATTTTCTTAATAGATAAAGCGAGTCATCCTTGGATGCTTTATTGGAAGACAAAGGGAAAATGCACATGCAACAGTACTAGCAGTGAATAATATATGTTTTAAGGGTGATATACTACTCTTTTTTATGTCATTTTGCATCAAGAATTGATATCATTTAATACTTAGTTTTTAATCAAAGCACTGTGTTAATGTATGGAACAAAGTTTATTTATTTTAGTTGCAGGAAGAAGCCAAACTCGTCAGTTTCACATGTGAGGTCAAACATTTTAGTGTTTGTTTACCATGGTTGAGGCCTGGAGATAATATGTTCTTCCTCCTTTTTGAAAAAGAAAAAGAAATTAGAGCCAGCTAAAGAAGAACAATTCATTTTCTGGTTCACGCAAGCAGAAAATCACATATTCATAATGCACCCAAATATATATACATGCACAATCAGTTGGAGATTTTTCTCACCAGGCGCATGTTATGTTACCAAGTACGGACTTGAGTTCAGATTATGAAAGCGGCTTATTTTTTCAAAACTCCAATATCCAATTGACGAAGATTATTTGAGTTTTAAACTGTATCGGTTGTTCCTCGGACTAGTTCTGTCACGCTCCAAACCTGGAGAGGCGTGGCTGGCACCCGATGCCGTAGTGGCCCGAGTGAACCATTCTGTAACTCATTTTTTTTCTCCTAACTATCATGGCCCAACATGTGTATAACTATAAGTGGGTAAACGCTGTATTAATGAACCATCGTTCTTAAAACATGAATATATATGGGCCGTCAAGGCCTTTGCCATATTATACAAAATAAACCTCAGTCTACAAAGCCTCTAAGATAATTTAACATCAAATGGAACAGGGTACCGGCCTACCCATAAGTCTGTAGCAAAACTCTTACACGATGACTTATAGACTCGGCTGCACTCCGAATGAGGTGGAGTCTTACCGATCCTTCGCTGAATGCTAACCTCGTTTACTATGAGGGCTCGTCAATCTAATTATCTACACATGCAGGCATGAATGCAACGTCCTCAACAAAAGGACGTCAGTACGAATAATATACCGAATATGTAAGGCAGAACTGAAACATAATAATAAGTCAACATTAATTAAAGACATATAAAAATCAACCTAAATCTCTGAAGTGCCATCGTATATGCATACTTATTATACTTATATATATAATGTTTCTCTTTGAGACTATTATCCATATCGTATGATGAATGACTGCCCAACTGATCAGTGGTAACTGCGCGACGACCGTAGCACGATGGTGAATGGATAACTGCCCAACCGTTGGTAAATAATGATACATAATTGCTCAATTGGTGGTAACTGCCAGACCGGCCGTAGCCCGGTGGTAAATGCATGACTGCCCGGCTGGCCGTAGCTCGATGATAAATGAAGATGCATGTCTGTCCAACCGGCCGTAGCACGGTGGTAAATAAAGATGCATGACTGCCCAACCGGCCATAGCACGGTGGTAAATGAAGATGCATGACTGCCCAATCGGCCGTAGCACGGTGGTAAATGCATGAAGATGCATGTATCACTATATTATAAATATTAACGTCTTTATCAAATACCTCAATAGAGACTTAGGAACATACTTAGACATGCTTGAATATCACTTTACAGGAATAATAGCATAGACAACCTTAACTGCTAAGAGTAGAGCCACTTATGGAATAGCATTACGTTTGCGTATCGTTACTTGGATCATGCCAAAAGAAGAAAGGATTAGCCTTAACATACCTGGGCCAATTCTGTTGACAATCCCTCTAACACACATCAACTGCAACAAAACATGTGATAGCAAGTTCGAAGTAGGAAAAAATCCGTATGATATTCTTTAGAAAGATTGCACCATACTCCCTTAAAATTGCAAAACCGCATGTTGCTTAAGATGCTATGAAATATCACGTTTTGAATGAAAGATTGAAGCAACTCACGTTACTAATGAAATTTCCCTATTGCTGAAGCCTTTCTCTTTAACTTAGATGTAATACCTCTCCATATGTGAACTAGAGAAGGATTTAAGTCTGGGTGTGTGGGCCCCACCTTTTAAAACTTGGTGTCACATACTTCTCTTAATTGTGCCACCTTTCAACCTATTTTAAGAGGGGGAATTACTCTTGGCGTGGTTCCTAGAGTCTTTCTTCTAGTTCCCGAATTCTTTGACGGCTTGCTTCCATTCGGGCTTCAATAGCAGCCGGGTTCATGGAGCGAAGATGTTTCAAGAAACCATTTAACATTATTCGAGTCTTTCGAAGTATTTTTTTACATTTTTTATTTCAACGTTAATTTAAGCAAGCTGCTGGGGAATTACCAGCTATGGCCATGTATAAGTAGCTCATTACTAAAATTGGCCAGTTGATAAATATTACTAATATTAGCAGAATTAGCCAATTAGCTATTTGTAGCAAAAAAATATCAAATTTTTGTGTTGTTTTGAGTGGGTGTTATTAGAATAGATTGGGCACAACTTACGGAGCTTGAATCTCAGTTTTGGGATGATTTGGTGAAGTTTTGAGGTGGTTTGAATTGAAAATTCGAAGTAAAAGCTGAACATGAAAAAAAATGATATGTTTATCACACTGTGTATCATTTGTATATTACATATGTATCATATTTGTATCAATTGTTTATCACATGTATATCCATGTATACCTGTGTGTGAGATACATGCATGCTACATGTTTGATACATGTGTCACAGAAGACTTTTTTGAACTCGATTTAATTACGAATTTTGATACTAAACTAGTCCAAATAACCTCCAATCTTCCTCAAATTTTGTATATTGACTTATCTATATATTTTTAATGAATTTTAACTATACCGATTGAAAAAGTTCCTTTTTTGTTTAGATTTTGGAATATTGTATAGATTTTTGTATTTCATCACCTTATTTGCTACCCCGTCCATGAAATTTCCTTTCCGTGTTGTATCAAATGTTGCAATTCACGCTTAAAAATATGGAAGGTGATTTTTGCATGTGATTCTTTGAGAGAAAGAACCCTATTATTTGGTTTTTTAATTTTTGTTGGCTAGTTTTGGTAAGTTTATGACTAATGGCTAGAGGTTGGTAAGTTGAGATTTATTTGGGACATTTGTGTAAGTTTTCTTTTTAATAGTCACTAAATGGGAAAGGGGTGCTGCCACGTTGGGGCCTTTTAGGCCTTATCCAAAATCTTAGTTTATTATTCACTAATTTCTTAATTAATTAATTAATCTCTCATTAACCAATAATCAATCAACTACCCACATAATTACCAATTATCTCAAATTATTTAAAATACTACTCACTTTTAGCACACTTATGTACCCTAATATCATGGTTATGTGGTACCGTATTTGGCAATAGTCCATAAATACGGGGTATTATAACTTGGACCGTATTTTATCCCAAATTGTCAAACTTCAACGAAACTCATTTTTTTTCAATCTGCTTACCCTCTCACCTTCATGACTTTACTTATCACTTGTTACAAATATCATAAGCACTTATAATTTTAGCCCAGATACAGCTCAGGCCCAAGTTCAGGCCCAACAGTCACAGGCTCAATCTGCCAAGGGAAAGCAGAAGGCTCTTTTATAGAGTTTTACACTTTACATGTATTTTGATTATTTACATTTTACATTACATTTTTATGTTTTGATTATTACACATGTAAATATAAATAGGGACTACTCAACAATGGATTCAGTTTTGGTCAATTAAGATTTGACCGACTCATTTTCAGTCTCCTTCTTCTCTCAACCCTTCTAGGGTTTTCTTCTACTAATTTCCGCCATAGCGATCGAGCTTCGACTCTAACATGGTATCAGAGTAGGAATATTGATTCCTCTCGTCATAACCTCTCTTCCGATAGTAGCCTCGTTTAAAATTGGCAAGGATCATACCAGATCGTCGGTTTTCAGAATACGTTCGTAGAAGTTTGGGGTTTCACTCAATTTTCACGGGTTCTCGACTCCTATTGTGAGAATCGTCGATAATCTTCAAGCTACACGGTATTTTCTGCTGGATTTGCTCTACCTAGGGTTCATGGCTAAACAAGACCTCACTTCTTCGGGTTCTTAGAAGAAGGACGGTATCACTGTCACTCCTAATCACAAATTCTGTTAATTTTGATGTTGATGTTGCTTGCATGTACATGATTTGAGTTTGTTTCTGATAAATTCAATGTGCTACCGTAATTTCTTAGTATCAAACTTAGTTTCTGGTGAAAATGGGTACTGTAGTAGATGAAACTAATTCCTCTCCAACTTCCAACGGTTTTGTTCCCTTTTCCTTGGATCCTTCACACCCGTTCTATATTCATCCCTCAGATAATCCTGGAAGTCAATTGGTATTTGTTCCATTCAGTGGATGTGGGTTTGTGTTATGGCGTAACAGTATGCTTACTTCCTTTTCTGCAAAGAATAAACTCAGCCTATTAGATGGTAGAGTCAGTCAACCCACTCCTGAATCTCCTTATTATCCATATTGGAAAAGGTGCAATGATATGGTTAAAGCTTGGATAACCAACTCAGTATCTAGAGAAATAGCTGTTAGTGTAATGTGTTTTAAAACTGCTAAGGAATTCTGGAAAGACATAAATGAAAGGTTTGGCCAATCAAATGGGTCTAAATACATTCAAATACAAAGGGAAATCAGCTCTACTAGTCAAGGATCCTCTGATATAGCCTTCTATTTCACAAAGATGAGAAGTTTGTGGGATGAGCTGAATTCTTCATATGTAGGCCTACTTGTTCATGTGGTGCTTTGCCTAAATTCATAGAGGACCAACAATTGTTTCAGTTCCTCAATGGTCTAAATGATTCATACACAACTGTTAAAAGTGCTATCATATTAATGAACCCTCTCCCACCAATCAGCAAAGTTTATAGTCTTTTACAACAAGATGAGAGTCAAAGGGAAGCTCACTCTGCTGCTCCTAACCTATCTGGTGATGCCACTTCTTTTTTGGTGTCTCCTAGTCCTTCTAATACAAATAGAACTTTCAGTCAAAAAGTGAACTTTGAGGCCAAGAAAGTTGCTCTAAATGTCTCTTGCAAGTATTGCAAGAAGCCTGGCCACACTGTAGACAAGTGCTACAGACTTCATGGATTCCCTGCTGATTTCAAGTTCACCAAAAGTAAGAGATATGCCTCTTGTGTTCAGACTGAAAGTCCATCAAACACTGCTGTTACTACTACTTCTCAGCAAGCTGAACCTTCAGCACATGGATTTACCAAGGAGAAGTATTAACACCTGCTGACTTTGTTCCAACAAGTTCAGATGTCAAACACTTCCACACCCGATGCCTCTAATGTGGATCAAACTGCCTTTGCACACTTTGTAGGTTTGTTTAGCAAGTATGCTGTAGATTCTGAGGCTTCCCATGTGTGTGCATCTTCTCATTTAGGTGTCAACCCTTGAATCTTAGATACAGGGGCCACAAACCACATGACCCACATAAACACCTTCTTTTCAATGTCCAACCATTAATCAAACCTTTCCTTGTCACTCTACCTAATGGATATAAAGCTAAAGTTGTATCAACTGGATCTCTGTATTTTAGGCATGATATAATTTTACTTCATGTTCTTCTGGTGCCATCTTTTCATTTCAATTTGATATCAGTTCATCAACTTATATATCAACTAGATTTTCAAGCACTCTTTACCAAAACAATTTGTTCTTTACAGGGCCCTTTTCTGAAGAGGCCACTGGAAATTGGTAAAGCTGCAGGCAGGCTATACTACCTCCATCCAGATGGTGAACTCTTTCCTGTTCCATCTGATTCTCTGAATGTTTCTTCTAGTAGTTTGCCTAGTTCTATTTCTACTTCTAGTGATTTACCTGCTTCTGCTTCAATTGTATCTGATAAGTCAAGTCATGTTGTTACACATGCTAATGGTACTCCTGATTGTAATAAATCTCATTGCCATAATAAACTGGACTTGTTTTGGCATCAAAGATTAGGGCATATGCCTTATCATAGAATGAAAACTATTCCTTTCTTATCTGATAAAGTGTCTTCTAAACAAAATTTCATGTGTCCTGTGTGTCCTCTAGAAAGACAATAGAGATTACCTTTTCCTGAGAGTGTTATACACACTTCTGCCCCTTTTCAACTAGTACACATTGACATTTGGGGTCCATATAACACTAGAACTTACAATGGTTTTAGATATTTTTTAACCTTGATTGATGATTACACTAGAGCTACATGGACTCATCTCATTTCCTGCAAGAGCAATGCTCTTTGTATCCTCAAAGCTTTTACTGTCATGGTTAAAGTTCAATTTAAATCTTATGTCCAAATTTTTAGGTCTGACAATGCTTTTGAACTTGGTGGAAGTTCTGAAGCTACCAAGTTCTTCTCAAGCCAAGGCATCCTCCATCAGACCACTATTCCTCACACCCCTCAACAAAATGGGGTAGTTGAAAGGAAACACAAACATTTATTGGAAATCTCCAGAGCCCTTCTCTTTCAGTCTAACCTTCCCCTCAAGTATTGGGGTGAATGTGTTATGACTTCCACTTACCTCATTAATAGACTTCGTTCTGTTGTTTTGAAGGGTCTTTCTCCTTATGAAAAACTTCATGGTCTACCTCCACCTTATGATCACTTAAGGTCCTTTGGTTGTTTGTCTTTTGCTACTTCATCTAGAGTTGGCAGAGATAAATTCCAAGCTAGAGCTATTCCCTCTATATTTTTGGGGTACCCCTTTGGTAAAAAGGGTTACAAACTTCTTAACCTTAATACCCATTCCATTTACTTTTCCAGGGATGTGGTCTTTCATGAACATGTATTTCCCTGTATGTCTGATCAACCTTCTACTTTTCCCTCCTCTTCTATGTCAGAATTTGTAGACTTTTCCTCCTCTCCTTCATCTTCTCCTACTCCTGCTGTTCCCACATCTCCAGATTCCCATATTCCTTCACCTCCTTCTCCTTCTCTTTCTCCTTCTCCTATATCTGATTTTTCTCCTATTATTCCTTCTCCTCCACCTTTGAGAAAGTCAACCAGAACAGTCCATCAACCTTCCTATCTCAAAGATTATGTCTGTTCCTCTGTCTCTTCCTCTCATAATCTTCCCTCCTCTTCCAAGATCTCTTCTGCTGACATACACATGCATGAGCCCCAGTTCTACCAGCAGGCTGCCTCACATCCTGCTTGGGAAGAGGCCATGCTAAAGGAATTTCAAGCCCTTGAGGCAAACCAGACTTGGGACATTGTCCCTTTACCTTCCCACAAGAAAGCTATTCCTTGCAAATGGGTTTATAAAATCAAACAAAGGGCTGATGGTTATATTGAAAGATATAAGGCCAGGTTAGTCATTAGGGGTGATACCCAAAAGGGGGCATTGACTTTACTGAAACCTTTTCCCCTGTTGTCAAGTTAACCACCATCAAATGCTTACTCACTTTGGCTGCTAAGTGGGGCTGGACTGTGTTTCAACTTGATGTGAACAATGCCTTCCTTCATGGAGATCTCCATGAGGAAGTTTATATAAAGGTTCCACCTGGTCTTGATGTATCTGCTCCTTCTTCCTTTCCTCCCCTGGTTTGCAGACTCAAAAAGTCCCTTTATGGCCTTAGGCAAGCTTCTAGACAGTGGTTTTCAAAACTGTCTGAAGCCTTGCAATCCAAAGGCTACATTTCCAGCATGAATGATTGTTCCTTATTCACTAAAGTCTCCTGTGATTCTCAAATTATTTTGGTTGTCTATGTTGATGACATATTGCTAGCTGGTAATGATGTAGTTGAGATGAACTCTTTGAAGTCTTTCTTGGATGCTCAGTTTAAAATTAAAGATCCGGGGTCAGTTCACTATTTTTTGGGGTTGGAAATCTCCCTTATTCCTCAAGGTTATGTGGTGAGCCAGCACAAGTACACTTCTCACCTCTTAGCTGAGTTTAGTTGCCAACATTTCTCTCATGTTATGACCCCTTTAGACCCTTCTGTGAAGCTAGTGTTAGACATGGGGCAACCTGTTTCTGATCCTAGTTTATATAGGAGGTTAATTAGCAAGCTCAACTTCTTGCAACACACTAGGCCTGATATTTCTTTCTCTGTTCAACATTTGAGCCAATTTCTCCAAAAGCCTCAAGTTCCCCATATGTTGGTAGCTTTACATGTTCTCAGATATCTACTCAATGATCCAGCTCAGGGGGTGCTTCTCTCTAGCTCATCTGATTTGTCTCTAACTGCATATTCTGGCTCTGATTGGGCTGCTTGTGCCATTTCTCGCAAATCTGTCAATGGTTATTATATTAAACTTGGTGGCTGCCCCATTTCTTGGAAAATCAAGAAGCAGCCCATATCTCCTTGTCCTCAGCTGAAGCTGAATATAGAGCTCTTCGCAAAGTTTCAGCTGAAATCTCTTGGCTACTCAGACTCTTGAGTGATCTTGGTTTGTCCATCTCCAGCCCAGTTCCCATTTATTGTGACAACCAGGCAGCCCTCCATATTGCCAAGAACCCAATTTTCCACGAGCGCACAAAACACATTGAGATTGATTGTCATTACGTACGCACTTGTTTACAGGATGGTCTGATTTCTTTGCATTTCATTTCCAGCTCCAACCAGTTAGCAGACATCATGACCAAAGCTCTTCATGGTCTTGTTCATCATAGTCTCCTTTGCAAGCTTGGTGTTTTCTCACCCTCAAGCTTGAGAGGAGGTGTTAGCCCAGATACAGCTCAGGCCCAAGTTCAGTCCCAACAGTCACAGGCCCAATCTGCCAAGGGAAAGCAGAAGGCCCTTTTATAGAGTTTTACACTTTACATGTATTTTGAATCTTTACATTTTACATTACATTTTTATGTTTTGCTTATTACACATGTAAATATAAATAGGGACTACTCAGCAATGGATTCAGTTTTGGTCAATTAAGATTTGACCGACTCATTTTCAGTCTCCTTCTTCTCTCAACCCTTCTAGGGTTTTCTTCTACTAATTTCCGCCATAGCTATCGAGCTTCGACTCTAACATATAACCTCAAAAATAATCTTGCCAATGAACTTATGTCAATTATCTTATTACAAATCCAACGTAGAAAAATACTGGATATAACAAGTTCATTGAACAAGAAAATTTAATTGATTGAGAAAATTTAAACAAATTACAAAGGTCTCATGTCTATTCAGAGTTCATCTCCCTCGGACAACAAGTCTACCCTCGGTTGCAAAGATAGTCTTGTGCTACCTAAGTTAAAACATCTATCAAAGTACAAACCGATATGAATATTCATTTTAGATCTTGCCAGCTTTCTAAATCTATTTTCTTCAATGTTGCAGAGGAGAGGCTGCTTACCGCCGTCAATCATAATTTCACCATTATTACCTTTTAATTGTACATACCCCATTATTTTTAACCAATTCCCCATACCTGATAAATCGATGATGTGTTCCTTGACCCATTCTTGCTTCTTTTGATCCTTGAGAACGTATAGATCTATCCTTGACAATTCTTCTGATTGGTAAGCTAAACATAATTTCCCATTCAAATCAGCTAAATGGCCATTCTCAATTATTGGAAACTCTTCATAATAGGGATCTTTGGGGCAACGAACGGAACTCATGAATTCTTCATTTTCTATTTCCATCGAAATAATATGCTTTTCCGTTGTATCTGCTCTTCCAACCAACCAATAAATTGCATTATTCACACATGTTGAATCAACCCTGTAAGAAAACCATTCTTGGTGTGCTAGGGATTGCCAAGAGCTAGGAATTGGTCCACCATCTCTTAGTGTGAGAGTCTCAAATCTGAACTCCACAGGACGACCACCATAGTTAGAGTTGTAATTAGGGCCAGTCTTGGTACCATATAGATGGACAATCTTGTATGTATTGTTGGAAGGGATATAGGCGCCATCAAAACTAACTGACGGATAGCTTGAAATTGGCAAGTCTTTGATTTCTTTAGTAGTGGGATTGCATACCTTGTGATTGAAAATGATGAGGTTGGAGAAGATGAAGAAAGAGTGTTCAGGGACAATATTATCCTCAAAACTGAAATCTTATCCATAGTCGAAATAGAAATAGTTCGACTAATCATTTCCATGCCACTCGGTGAATGCTTGTAGTCGGAGACTTGAACTACACGTGGTCGAGGACGATTCAAGGATTTCTTGTTGTAGAGTCTTCTGAAATGTGGACTCGAGATAATTCTGAGCCATAGCTTTGAAACTGTCTGAAGTTGGTGGACATGTTTGACTGCAAGCCTGGAGAGTATATCCACCAGGACTTCATTAGGCAGATCGATGATGTTAGAGCTTGCCATTGTACTGTCCATTCTTCAACTGCTTCTTGATATCAGAGAGAGATCTATATTGGTGATCGTATCTCACGTATACTATATGTTTATACTATATATATATATATATATATATTTTTTTTTCTGACAATAGCCTTCATTGACTTAAATAAAGATATATATGAAATACAATTGGTTATACATCAAGATAAGTTTCTTCACTTACATAACCTAACAAGGTTAAGGCTTCTTCTAATTGGTAAAATTATGTGATCTCTCTACCACTGATTATCTCAAGTACGAATACTCCGAAACTGAATACGTCGAACTTGATGGAAACCAATCCATCTAGTGCATATTGTATCCAAATCAACGTATGGAACATCAATGACTTTATCATCATTTTCATTCATTAGATGATTTGTTTCTCCTGCAGCTTTCTGTTAGTGAGAGATTTGTGTCCCTTCAGTACAGGGGCGGAGCTAGAGTGCCGCCAACGGGTTCGGCCGAACCTAGTAGCTTTGGTTCAAACCCTGTATTTGTCTTAAAAAATTCATTGAATATGTATAAATTATTAATTTAGAACCCAGTAACTTAAAACGATTAAAATCCCGAACCCATAAGCTTGAAATTCTGGCTCCACCTCTGCTTGAGTATCCCTTTTTCTATCTAGAATCAATAGACCTGTATCAAAATTCACATGTAAGACACAAGCGTAATATCGAGATACTATAATATAATTCGAAATGGAGAAATATGCAGAAAATATAGAGCCCGTTTGGATTAGCTGATTGTAAATAACTGATAAGATTAAAGTGCTGAAAAGCATTTTTAAGTGCTAAAATTAATTTTTTAAATTAGTATTTACGTGTTTGGATAAACGTGCTGAAATTGATAATAAGCAGTTGATGTGTTTGGTAGAAAAGTGCTCATAAGTTGTTCTTTTATTAAAATAACTAAAATATCCTCCATACTTTACAAAAGATTATGAATTATAAAGTTTCTTTGTAATGAAAAGGATGAACAACGAATATGGAACGAAGAGAAACTTAGGAAATTTATTTTGGAATTTTTTTTTGTGAATTAAAATATATTATTAAGAATAAACTAGTAAAAGCCCTAGTCAAACTTAAAGTACTTATAAGCTGAAAAGCCATAAGTTGGGGGTGACTAACTTATGAATTATGGCTGAGTTTAGCTTATAAGCACTTATTTTATAAGCGCTTTGGGTGTTTACCAAACACGTAGATAAGTCAAAAGGTGCTTATAAAGCAGTTTGTCCATTCTTCAATTGCTTCTTGATATCGAAGAGATCAGAAAGAGATCTAAATTGTTGATCGCATCTCACATATAGCTACTGTCCAAGTCCAAGCAGTGGCGAAGCTAGGTATTTTTCCAAGGGTATTCAAATTTGAAAGAAGTGAAAAAACTTCCAGACAAAGGGTGTTCAATATGTGTTATATACCTCTAAAACGTAATATTTTACCTATATATACAATGTAATTTTTCGACGAAGGATGGTCAACTAATGTGGCTTCGCCACTATGTGTCCAACGCGGATTAGTAATGAAAGTGAGTCTTTTGGATGCATTATTAGCTGCCAGACTTAAATAAAGATATGAAATATAATAGGTTATACATCAAGATGAGTTTCTTCACTTACATATAACTAGGGGCGGCAATTTAAGTCCAACCCACCCAGCGATTATTGAATTGGGCAGCAAATATTTTAGTTCATGTATCTATTTGGATTGAGGTTAGCCTATCATTTTTTATAGCCCATTCTAACCCATGAAGTAGTCAAAATACCACTCATGAATGTTTTTCTAGAAATTTCCTTAGTTGCCCTATCATTAGTCATGTATCTAAGTTTAAAAATGAGAATCAAAATTTTTAAGTTTTGATGTAAATATGAATAATTTTGTATCTGAGATGTAGTGAAATTTACTTATTTGAAATAACATAAATGATATTTTTCAACTTACAAATTTTAAATGCTTATTTATTATTTAAGAAACTATATTTTGATTCTCAAAATACTAATAATATTGTCTTTTTTGAAAGGAGGGATTACTTCTTATGTGGGGAATAGGGCTTCGTGTGTTATATTGTAAAGAAAAAATAATAATGACATAAATATATATAAATCAAAGTTTGTAAAAAAAATTGTCAGGGTTTTTTTCTCTAAAAGAAATCGATAAAGTTTTCTGAAAATTTTGTGTGGTCTGAAGGCTCTTTTCTAAATGAATTGTTTATGGAACAATTCCAACATCAGAAAAAAAATTCAACTAGCCAAAATTTTATCTTGCACAAAAAATTTCTTCAAAAGATTTTCTAAAACATTGTCTTTTTTTTTTTCAACCGCTATTTTCTTTGCTTTTTCTTCTTCTTCTTTCTTTTACACTTTTAAATAGTTATTTAGTTTTAGATACTTATAAAAGCTCATAAATAGTTGAGTATAAGATTAATCCATATGTGTTTCTCAACCAAAAATTTAAAATTAGATATATTGCAATCCATCGTCCTGCATGGAATGAATAAATTATGAGGAAGCTAAGAAAGTAGGGAACATAGATGTGTATAAAAGGTAAAAGGTGTTGTTTATGCAAGATGGAGCATGGTTCTAAAACATGGGTTAAGTTGGGCGGATTGGGTTATGATTCATTGTTTAGCCCATCAAGACCCAGCTCATCTTAGCCAAGTATACTTTGGGCTGGGTTGGGCAATGACTCTTTTAACGATTCAATCCATCTAGACCCGCCCAAATTCAACCCAACTCGCCCATTTGCCACTCCTATGATATAACCTAACAAGTTTAAGGCTTCTTCCTTTGGTAAAATCATGTGATCTTTCTTCAACTGATTATCTCAAGTAGGAGTACTCCAAAACTGAATATGTCTAACTTGATGGAAACCAATCCATCCGGTGCATATTTAAGACACATACAGCCACACCAGATTACCACAAGCGGATAATGTTCGTAAGTATGAGAATTTTATCAACAAACGAAAAGAAATAACCAAACATCTCATTGTTGGGATCACTTGCAAGAAAATAATGGTACTTGGTATATTTGGCGGACAAAAAGGCATGACACGTGGACCATCAGCGAGGTGACAAGTGGCATTTTCAGTTGAGTCAATAAAAGAAAATGAAAAGGCACGAATGGAACACTCATAGTGTTTTATCAGAAAAGGAACCGACCCTAACAGCTGGAAAAGAAGTAATAGACACGAGATGTATGATGACCAAAAACGGGGAAGATTCATGAATCTCTTATAAATAAGGAAGGGAAATAAACATTTATGTTTATTACGGGAAATTCTCAGTTATTATTATAACCGTTATAATTAAATATGGTAATAAGCAATCAAGGCAATTAAGGCCATTAACGAGCTAGAATTAAAAGGGGAAATCGTTATAATTATGTGTCCTTATATAAGGTCCTGCTCATATTTGTAAAGGCATTTGAATATTTTTCAATATATGCAATCAGTCTTTCATTTTATTCGATTCAAGTTTCAAACCGCAATTTTGTGAGAGATTAGCAATCAAAAATAAACTTTCTTTCCTTACTTAATATTTCTATCCTATTCTTTGAATTACCAATAAAGTGAAGTAATTTTAGTTATGTGACGACCCGACCCGTCGTCTCATGAGTTACCGCTCCGTTTCCCCCATTTTATTCTTCTTCATCTTTCATTATCAGTAATTGGTGTGTTAGAGTTTATTTGGATTGGTTTTGGTAGAAAATGAGACACTTAGTCTCTTTACGGAAGGTTTGGTTTGGAAAAGTCAACCGGACGTTGACTTATGAGTTAGAAGGCTCGGATTTGGTTTCCGGTGATTCGGTTAGCTTCGGAGGATGATTTGTGACTTACGAGCGTGATCGAAATTGATTTTGGAGGTCTGGTGTAGAATTAGGCTTGAATTGGCGAAGTTAGTATTTTGGCGAATTCCGGCTGATGGGTGAGATTTTGATCCGAGGGTCGGAATGGAATTCCGAGAGTTGATGTAGTTTAGTTAGGTGATTTTGGATATCTGTGCAAACTTTCAGGTCATTCGGACGTCGTTTGGTCGGGTTTTTAATCGAAAGTGTATTTCGGAAGTTTTTGAGAAACTTAGGCTTGAATTCGATGAGAATTGATGGTTTTGGCGTTGTTTGAGGTGATTTGATAATTGGAACAAGTTTGAATGATATTTTAGGATATGTTGGCACTTTTGGTTGAGGTCCCTTGGGCCTCGGGGTGATTTCGGATGGTTAACGGGAAGTTTGAAGTTGAAAAATTGCAGCAGAAATTGCAACATCAGTTGCAGACCAAAATTGGTCTTCGCGATTGCGTGACGCGTTGCGATTGCACAGAAGGATTTCCGGGCAAGGTGAGTTTGTTCTACGCGTTCGCGTTTTAGCCTCCGCGATCGCGGAGGGATGGGCCCTGGTGCATCGCGTTCGCATACGTTTGATCGCGATCGCATAGCATTGGAGTTTAAGGCATCACGATCGCGTGGCTTGGACCGCGATCGCGTAAAGTTAATTGAGGAGCCGGGAATTTTGTTCTCCGCGATCGCGTGCCTTGGGTCGCGATCGCATAGAGGAAAAGCCTGGAGCTGGGCAATGAGTTCATAAGCATTTCATCCGCGAGTTTTAGTCATTTTTCCTCCATTGTTGAACATTTTGAGAGCTCCTTGGGAGAAATTGAAGAGGGATTCGAAGAAATGATTTGGAGGTAAGATTTTTGAACTCCACACTCGTTTTTATTGTGAAATCCATCTAGAAATTCATGGAATTAAGCCTAAAATTGATGAACTAGGGCTTGGGATTTTGAGATTTTAAATTGGGATTTAATGGGTCATTTGAGCTCGGATTTGAGAGTTCTTGGTATGTATGAACTCGTGAGAAGATGAGGAATCCACTGATGTTAAATTTTCTGATTTTCAAGAAGTGGGCCCGGGGCTCGCGTTTTGCTAATTTTGAGATTTTTGCTATTTTTCGATTGTTTTCGATTGGGCATTGTCCCATTGGCATA